TCCCTCTCCTCACACACTGCTCCACCAACTCTTAGCACCCATGAAATAACGAATCGGTCGGACCTCCAACGCAGCAATGATTATAGCCGTATCGACAAGTGTTTGGCGACTCGACTGCATATGACTTTCTGTATTCTACAGAATGAACCTCACTTGTTTGCCTCTACCATGATATCAATGTTGTTTACCATTTGTACCTTCACTTCCTCCCAGCTAGGAGTATGGTTCAGTTTTGTTGTGAAGCGTTCTATAATAATACATTCGACTACACCCCTCTGACCCGAGTTCGCATAAGCCCAATCATTTGCGTTAACCAGGAAGGATCACAGAACGGGCAATCATTGGAGTGCTGTAGCGACGCGAAGCAGAATTGTTTATGGAGAGCCAAACGAAACATGCAAAGAGGTTATGTCTACGCAAGAAACTCAGCACTGAAGATACCCTTCCCCTCCCGTTTTTTGGGTTGGGAGTTGGTACGACCTCCCCCCTCCGGCCCTCTGTTCCTCCTCATCGAATCGAGCCGTCGAGCGGGGGGGGGGGGGGAAATAGCACATGTGAAACAGGAAAATCACCAAAAGTCAACCACCGCTCCTACAACGCCGAAACGTAAATACGACCCCCCCCTCCCAACAATGACCAAGTGACCGGGAAAAATTTTTTCCCAACAAGGCAAATTCCTCTGAAAGCCACATACGACCCCCCCCCTCTCCCAACAACGACCAAATACGACCCTCCCTCCCCAGCCGAAAAGTACGACCTCCCTACGTGTTTTACACAACGATACTGTACCCTGTATACATACCACGCACGAAACCGGGAAGATCAACAACAGCGAAGATTTACTTCGTGGCTCGGAAAAATTCCTTGAAAAGGTTGTGATCCCCCTCCCACCAACAATACACCGCTACCACCCTTCCTTCCCCCCCCCCACCTCCGATAAAAGTCCCCAGCGATGCGGTAGCCCAATCCCATCCATATGGCTCACGGTCGTATCTTCCCACTTTGCGCGAAAATGCCTTAATTCCCTGGTCCCTGGACTGGGCCTCTACCTGTTGAGCGAAGTCTGTTCCAAGTCTACCGCGGGGCTTCTCGCAATTCGCACACGATGACGGGAAGCAATCGACCGGAACGGCGCCCCACTGCGTGTCCCAAAGTCCACAATTGCCTTTTCAGGTAGCCTCTCAGGCTCTCAGGGGTCAAGTCCCAGAGAAGTCGCACAGCGATCCGAAAGGATTCTGGAGCACCAGGTGATAACACGAAATTGATCGGATTGATCAGTTTTGATAGCAGAGTGCAGACACGTCAACGTCATTTTAGAGTCAGTCGATAACACGTGGGCGAAAACCCAGAGAGATGGAGAGAGTATGCACTTTGTGGGGACCGCGTACGCTCGACGGGCAAAGACGCAGACACGCTAGGGGCGGGCGCTCGGAGGACCGCTCATATAGCGGCGAGTGGCTCATGATTGCCCGGTTTTCGTCCTTCTTTTCGTGATTAAAGCCTTGTTCTAGCTTTCACCTGGTCCTACACAGGGGTCCTTATAGGTGTTGTGACCTACCTGGGTGGTTACTGGTCCTTTTCCGTTCGAAATTCCTTCCGCTAGGCCATATTTCCCCTTCAAAATCGATCGTTTGGTGATCAGTCTCCAGGTCTGTTCCAACAAGATCCGGTTCTCAAATGGGGACTTGGGGGGTGTGGATGTCGCTATGACCTAGTTTGCGTTTCTACGGAAAGGTCCAGTTTTCAGCTATTGATCGAGCGGGCGACTGGCCGCACCCCCACTCGCCCGTCGGGGCTTATCTTGACAGGAGCAGCACGGGCGCAGCAAACACCCAACTCACACTCGCACTTAATAGATATTTTCCTGACGTTTTCATTCTATATTCTTTCACCCCTCCTTACGCTATTTTCCTGTGGAATTTCTTCTGTCGAACATTTCTACCAGCACGAATTAGAAGTCATCAGTAGTTTTCTTGGCACAGATGTAACACAGGCCCGCAAAAGGGTACACGAGGTGTTAAATAACGGGTTAAAGATATAGCGTGTATTTCATCATTGTTTCTGACGTCAGGTCCCTAGAGTTGGATGACGTCACTGACACGTCATCGTTTTCTTAACGATCAGTGCTGCACTACAGTAGCACCGTTTCCTTTTATATAAGTACCATATATGTCTAGCTTCAACTCTTATCGTTCTGAGACCCCTCCCTTTTTTTGCATTTGAGCGGTAGTCAGCTGATTAGCGGTTGCATCATGTTGGTGCGCCAACTGATGGCCCTATTTCGTTGAATTTACGTAAAAAAGCTGTTGTTATTGCACAAGAGTACAGTCATTCTTTTACAGGATCTCCTTGACACTTGGAAAACCCGTCCACTTTTACTGGGAGTGCCAGTTGTGCATGTTCTTGCACCCAACAAACTTCTTACGATACTGCGATTTTATGCTCGACAACCCTCAAGAAGGTGAGTTCTGATTGATATATGGGGCAAGTCGGCTAGTGAGGAAGATCTCAATGGTTCCGAGTGTGACAAACCTGTTATTATTAAAATTGGGCTGTACAGAATGGATCACCCATTCGGGCTTTCTTCCGCCTCTTAAAATCATAGGCTACTAAACAGGTTACTAAGCGTGGCGCTAATGCCGACTGGTATGAGGCGCTGGAATCCTTGGGAAGATTTAGTTTTCGCCAGGTACGGCTCTCAGTGAACCTCATTAGAACTGAAGGTTTCGCCGAAACGTACATGAGCCGTGAGAAGTGTTCCACAAACCTCGCAGAGTTCAGCAGGAACACCAGAGAAGGGGTTGTTATAAGGCCATCCCCCTTCTCACAAAAAATTGGTTCGGCCACGCAAAGCACCTTCATTTCCAGAGTTTAGAATGCTCATCTCCATCACAGCAGTCCAAGTACTGCCTGAGAAAACCTTTGAGCACCCTCACCCTTAGCCGACTTGCACCCAGTATTACAAAAATCGCGACGCCTCCCAATAAACCAGTCGAACGTCCACGCTGAATTTCGAAATAGTTTTCAGAGGGCATGGTTCAGTTTCTTGGTTTTTGTTCTCTCGTTCAGGGATCAACAGGTCAGCGCGAAGCGTCGACCACAGCTCGCGATAAGTGATTGATAACTGTAAGAAGACATTTTAGCGAACAACAATAGTGGGAACGGTGTGCTGCATTATGAAAGGTTGAGTAATCATGAATGATTGCGAAACTCATGCTGTAACCAAGAAGAACACTGTAAAAGCCCATAGTTTACTGAGTTGTGAATGGATTCCTTGATTCAAGCCAGGCTATCGATCCTGTACGATTGGAAAGACCGTCTCAGAACATTGGAGCAGCTTCAACGCTGGGGATAGGTAATTGAAAATGGGACTTGATGGTGCCTTGCTCTCTTTATGAATCTGCCTTCGCAAGACCGGTTCAATGAGCTAGCAGGGCAGCATAGTCGTGGGATCTCACCCTTTTTGACCTGGCCTCGGGCGCTGAAGCTCTCCAGTGTGAGGTGTTGATTCATTGTTCACTGGAGACTCGGAGAATGGAGGGCTTCTGTCAACCGGACATGATTTTCCGGTGAGGGTTCAGAGGTATTTTCTTATCGCATTTACCGGTGGACCAGTTGAATGGAGAACCAAAAGGAAGAAGGAAGAGAGAAGCAAGCAAGGAAAAGAAGGTTGAAAAAAGGAAAGAATGGCTTTGCTCTGATTGATAGGTACCCTGAGACGCTCGAAGAATCCGCAGAAACGAG